GAGTCCCATACCAGCACGAAACGGCCGTCCAGTGCTTCCAGGTTTCTAATGGTGGTCTAAAAATGATTGATTGATGATTTCAAATGTGTAAAAACGCAAACCTCTAAAACTGTGCCCCAAAAGATGGAAATGTTAATTCGAATCACATAGTAGTAGAGGTAGTAGCAGTATTAGCTGTAATTGAAAAGAATAAAATATCAAAGATCTGTGATTCGAGTATTATATCAAAGTGATATAAATTTTTAATAGACAAAGATAAAGGTGATGAACAAATCAAAAGATTAGAATTTGAGAGAAGACAAAGAATGGATGCATCTTATTGCTTCGCAAGTGATGTTGAGCAATATCATTCAAAGTCTTTAACCAAACTAGTTAAGTTTGTCTAACGGACACTACCAGGTAGTCTACACCTACGAACGTGGCTCAATCAACTCGTCAGTGACTTCATGGATTTGTGCCATGATTTTTGGTTTGATCGTCCCTTGCTTTTTTCCAGCTTACCCCTAGATCAGACAATACTGCTTGTGATGTCATGCAGTATATTTTGATGTTAAATGATTTTAAGTAATCGGTCATAGATACCATGGATTTAAGTATTTCTTGTTATTACTCGTTAAGAACGCATATGTCAATTCATCAATATAAAGTTGTTATGGCTGTTGAGTTCCATTGAAATCAAGAGTTTAGACATTCGGTCGCCAGACCTAATGTACCGCGTCCGATTCCCGCTTGCGCGTGCGCAGATTCGTATAATAGAACGAAATGACCATCAATTAGATCGAACACTGATCGGTTCATGATAACAATGAAATTAAAAATTATATATATATATATATATATATATATATATATATATATATATATATATATATATATATATATATATATATATATATATATATATATATATATATATATAGATTCACTTGTGTTGTTTTACCTACATTACTGCATATACATTTCATTTTTTGATTTCATTCAATGTTGATGATATAACAATCTATTTTAAATATGGCTTCCTTGTTAATGAGAACACAGTTACATAATCTATCTAATATTGAATTTAATGAATACAGTTTTACATTACTGTTTAAATTTTCAAATGACAATTTAATGAGAATGACTTTGATTTGATAAACATTATAGCAAAAGGCCAGTTTAAATTTAAGACCAATATAGTTGACAGGATAGTTTCAGTTAAGTAAAAGAGTCCGAACAGTCAAAGACAAAATAATACATAACACTTGTGAAAGCACGCTAAGTATAGAGTAGTTTAGAGAATCCTGATCAGGAGCCTATGCTCCATGTGAGGTAACAGGTTTATAGAAGTAAAACATCAGCTACCTAGTGCTTCCAAGTTTCCAATGATGGTCTAACACTGATCAGTTCATGATTACAATAAAAGATTTGTATTCTTTTGTGAATCATGCATGATGATAACAGTAACGAAAAATACACTACTGCATACCAAAAAAAAACAACATCTGAGAATAATTTAACATATTCACATATCCTACAACATTGTTAACTAATCACTTATAAAAGTTCACAATGAACCAATCTGAAATAAATAACATACAGTTTAACGATTCAGTAAATAATCTTTGAATGTTGAATAAATAAACAACTAAGAAAGTGAAATTATGTTCAGTTGACGTTTACTACTTTATACAATTACTATCGTTATACACTATTGTATTGTGGAGATTGTTGTTTTTACGCATTGAAATTATGAATGAATTAGTGTTAGATCATCATTAGAAATCTAGGAGCACTAGACAACCGTTTCGTCTTGGTATAAGACTTATCAGCCACGGTGTGCATCCACGACTACTGTTACCCGCAGGAACTGAACACAAGACCTCCGGTCTTGCTCTCGAACGATTAACCTCCGGCATCAAACGGTGTTAGTGTTTAACTCTGACAGGTGTAGGCTGCCCAGTGCTTGAAGGTTTCTAATAGTGGTCTTGATAGGGAGTGAAGTGGTCGAACGTGTAGACCGCTTCACTTATCTGGGGAGTCTCATCAGCGCTGATGGCCTGGTGACTGACGAAATCTCGGCACGGATACAGAAGGCTCGATTGGCTTTTGCCAACCTGCGTCACTTATGGCGTAGGCGAGATATCCGTTTGCTGACTAAAGGACCAGTGTACTGTGCAGTGGTTCGCTCCGTCTTACTTTATGGCTGTGAAACATGGCCAGTCAGAGTAGAAGATATTCGTAGGTTACTGGTTTTCGATCATAGGTGTCTTCGAAGCATTGCTCGTATATCGTGGGACAACCGAGTGAGCAACGCTGTTATTAGGAAACGGGTGCTAGGTAAGAATGGTAGATCAATAGATGCAGTAATGAAACTTCATCAGTTGAGGTGGTTGGGACATGTGTTGCGTATGCCTAACCACCGACTGCCTCGTCGAGTTTTGTTTTGTAGTGCAGGAGTAGGTTGGAAGAAAGTTAGGGGCGGCCAAACCAAAACATGGCAGAAATCTATGAAGTCATTGACGAGTGGACTGAGCCATGTCGGAAATTGTCGACTACCTGGTTGGGGTCCGCGAGATCATAATAATCGATGGTTAGAGACCTTGAATGACATGGCTCAAAATCGTTCGCAATTGCGTCGGTGCATTTATTCTTTGTGTTCTCTCAAATCCTAATCTTCTGGATTCTTCAACACCTCTAGTTTTTACTTTCTAAGCTTATCTCATTGAATCATACTTCGTGAATAATAATTCTAACTTCTCCGATTACTTCTAAAATACCTTTACTACCTCTTCTACTATTGGATTTGAATTGACAATTATATCTCTGTGCTGATGTGGTATGGCGACATGAACTGATGTACTTACGTACGAAGTTCTACGTTGCAACTGACTGACTGACTGACTCTAATAGTGGTCTAACAATGATTCATTCATGATTTCAATGTGTAACATCGTAATAATGAGTTGTCTGTATAACTTGATTTATTCTAATCAAATGTAAGGGGGAAATTAACCATTTTTTTAAAAAAGAAATATTCCTCTTTTATAAGCTTATTGTAAAACTATATAATCATGATTTTAATGTATTGTCACGCATTGAATATTGAATATCAAGAATGAAATTCAATGATAAATTATATTTTGTTTTACATTTTATTGAGGATTCATTTGATAAATTATTAATTACTTTAAGGTAGGTTTTAATTCAATTTTCAATGGTCTTAATCATCTTGTCGTTGATATTTTAAAATTGAAATTTGATCAGTCCTGGTTGATAAATATGTATCCTATGTGAATCGCTTTGATATAGTCATTGTGACATAAGATAGGATGTGGTCAATCAACACTGATCAAATTTTGATTAAAACTATCGCTAGATTGACTAAAGTTAGACATTATTATCGTAGGATACCGGCTCAGTGGTCTAGAGGTTAAGCATTCGCATGAGAGACTGAAGGTCATGAGTTCAATTCCCATGAGCGGAGATCGAGGATACGCACTGTTGATGAGTTCCATACTAGGAAAAAAAACGGTCGTTTAGTGTTTCTAGGTTTCTGTTGTTGTTCTAATAATGATTCAGTCATGATTTCAGCGTAAAAATATCAGCATCGGTATAATCCAAAATATTTCAATGTGAATTAAAACTCAATACCCCATGCACAAATGAGTGGCTATTCGGACTCGGTAGCTAAATGAAAATAGCATGATGGCCTTTGACGTAAACTGTTCTGGGTTCCAGTCCCAGAATGAACATCACTTCTGAAAAGTGACGTGTACATCGAGCTAACGAGTCTCAAATGGAACGAAACACTCGTCCTATATTTCACTGAGATCCACATTCAATATATATATGGTGAAACGAATATAAATATACATGGTAATCTTGTTATTAATAATGACTGTTCGAACAAAATAGACTTAGTTAAGTAATATCACATTGTTTAGTACTTACTTACATACCCTCGCTAGCTCCAACGGAGCATAGGCCGGCGACCAACGTTCTCCAACCTACTCTATAGCTGGGCTTACCTTTCCAGTTTCTGTTCAATTTTTGTTCATTCTTCTAATATCTGTCTCTGTTTCTCGGTGTAATGTGTTCCTTGTCTAGTAGATACACAGCAATCCTTTCAAGCTTATACATAAAGCTTAAATAGAAAGTTACATTTGACAACATTCCAGCATAGGCAATGAAAGCAGATGTGGAAACAACTGCGAAAATATTTCATATCCTCTTCAAGAAGATTTGGGATGAGGAACAAGTACCATCAGATTGGAAAGAAGGATACCTCATCAAAATACCAAAGAAAGGCGATCTCAGCAAATGTGAGAACTACAGAGGCATCACTCTTCTTTCAATACTAGGCAGTCTTCTACAGGGTATTATTAAACAGAATGAAGGACTTCGTAGATGCCCAACATCGAGATCAACAGGCCGGATTTCGTAATGATCGATCGTGTACTGACCAAATTGCAACATTATGGATCATTGTGGAACAATCAATAGAATGGAACTCACCACTCTACATCAACTTCATCGACAAGTGTTTATTAACAGTTGTCTACGCAAAATACTTCGGATTCGTTGGCCAGACACCATCAGCAACAACGTACTGTGGGAGAGAACAAACCAGCGGAGCAAGATATCAGGAAGAAGCGGTGTAAGTGGATAGGACACACACTATGAAAAGCACCTAACTGCATTACGAGACTAGCCCTCACATGGAACCCTCAAGGCAAAAGGAAAAGAGGAAGGCCAAGGAACACATTACTTCGGGAAATAGAGAAGGATATGAAAGGAATGAACAAACATTGGACAGAACTGGATAGGGAAGCCCAGGACAGAGTTGGTTGGAGAAAACTGGTGGGCGGCCTATGCTCCATTAGGGGTAACAGACGTAAGTAAGTAAGTAAGTACATTTGACAATTTTTTTTTAACTTTTAACTAATCATTTTTGTCTATTAAATAATATTCTTATTTTTTTTTTAATTTCACATTTCATTTCATTTCATTTTTATTAGCATCCGATTGTTTTGCATATATGCGTAAAGGTAGTGAAATGATTAAATTGCATACTAGTGGACGTCAATATCATAAACGTATATTTTATTTAAATGAACAAATGAATTGTATTAAATGGTCATCAACTAATCATAATAATATTAAACGTCAATCAAATTCTTCACAAAGTAAGTTAAATTGTCTATGATCATGTGATTTTATTGCATAAATTGTTTGCTTATTCATTTAGTTGGTTAAGCCCATACAATACCTTACTTACTTACTTCCTTACTTACTTACTTACGCCTGTTACCCACGATGGAGCATAGGCCGCCGATTAGTATTCTCTAACCTACTCTTTCCTGAGCCTTCCTTTTCTCTAGTTCTGTTTAATTTTTGTTCATTCTTCGCATGTCTTTCTCTATTTCTCGGCATAATGTGTTCTTTGGCCTTCCTCTTTTCCTTTAATATTGAGGATTCCAAGTGAGGGCTTGCCCTAGGACACAGTTGGCTGTTTTCCTCAACGTGTGTCCTATCCACTTCCACCGCTTCTTCCGGGTTTATTCCTCCACTGATATCTGGTTTGTTCTCTCTCACAGTAAATTGTTGCTAATGGTGTCTGGCCAATGGATATTATTACAGTGGGTTACTAAAATTAAAGATGCCCAATGTAAATCATTGAATTTGGATGCTTAAACCAAAACAGTGTAGTCTTATCAAAACGGTACCACACCTTAAGCCTTTGACGGGTAGGCGATAGAGTAAAATTAAACGATGCCATCTCACGGTGATTGGTGACCAACATCAGGTTCATGCAGCATTTATTCTTTCAGGATTCTAGAACCTGTGCGCACCACTGGTTTAATATAAGGATTTTACGACGGCTCTGGATGTCTATGAATAAGGCTTTCTTGACGTTATCCAAATACACTTAATCGTATGAGTGAATTCCGGAATGGAAAGCTAACAATCTTCACTCATCCGCCGTAGATGGACATTCGTTTGTCACTCACATGTTTAGAAAAAAGGAAACACACTTATTGGAGGGAACGATTAGAAAACTATTTGAAATTGTTTTAATTTCAATTAAGCACATTAATAATCTGTTTTCATTAATTTTGGTTATTATATTTAACGTTTAACTTAACAAAGATATCGTACACATTACTTAATTACTTACTGACTTACTTGTTACCCCTAATGCAGCAAAAGCCACCATTTAGAATTCACCAGCTTACTCTGTCCTAAGCGTTTCCTTCCAGATCTATCCCACAACGCTATTCATTCTTTTATTGTCTTTCTCAACTTAGTGTGTTCTTTGTTATGCCTCTTTTCCTTTAGCCATGTTGTGTTCGCGAACCCTTTGTAATCATTACGATTTTTTTTTCAGATTTCAAAGACTCATATTTCATCTTTAAACATTTTCAATCAGAATAAGAGAAAATTTACTTTAAGATGTGTAGTAACGTAATTTTTGATCGATTCTGTTTAAACAGTTGATGTTTTCTTTCCTAATTTATGGTTATTTTTAAGGAAAATCATTACATCAAAATAACATAACTCATTGACAATAGCTAACAATTACTCGGTTGTCTTCTAGTCAGATAATATAAACCTTTTAGTCAAAAGAAACTCTAGTGATCTATCATTGATATTCAGGGTTACAAATGGTCAGTTTCCAATTTTAAGTGGTGAAGAAATCTATGCAGCTCATAAAGGAGATGATTGTGGTGGAGTTTCCTTCTCTGAGCTGAATGTTTTGATTGTGTTCTTTTGAATAACGTCAGAAGAACAGTGAAAACTCCACAATTTAAAACGTCCATCTCAGAGAACCAAACTTCACCCAAGTTTGTATTATTTAAATAGTGAATAACCCGTAAAATGCAAATTGTACATTTTATCCCATTGAAAAAAAATTATTCAAATAAATGTGCCTAAATCTAAATATGGACATAATCAAATTGGAAGATAGCCCTATCGAGCTGTCAGTTCAAACATCAATATATTGTCATTTTAGTTAATTCAGTTCAAATACCAACTCATTTTGTTCAATGGATATCTAACCTTCTAAACATTAAACCCTTTAAGACTGGTTAGTATTTATCCGGATTCATTAGAGTAGTACAAACAAAAACACGTGGGTGTTTAAAACAATAAACTTTGAGTTTATGTTTCAATGTGAAGAGAGATCCAAATTCAACCTACTGAAAAGTTGTGCAATCTAGGAAGTAGAAGCATTCGCGCTGAACTTCCTAGCTGATGACAGTGTAATGAGGGAAGCTTATTTAAAAAATATGTACAGAAAATCTTTAAACAAGTTTCTGACCATTCTTTTTCAAACATTTTCCGGTCATTAATAAGCTCTCATTGTGCTATACAATTCGGGTCTGTAGACATTTTTCTCTCTCTTGTAATAACTTCTGAGTGACACACTGCCACATACTACTTATATGCCATTTTGTATATAACAACTATCAGACTAATAAATCTTCTAAATAAAAAAATATATTTTTTGTATTTATTTTAAATAAGAAACTGTATTTCTAACATTCAAAGTTTCAGTAATTTTCAAGTTTGAAAGATATTTTAATTTTCTCAAAAGTGATTTCGAAATCGTGAATCAGTCAGTGTTAGACTATCAGTAGAAATTTTGAAGCAGTAGATGACCGTTACATCCTAGTATGACACTCATAATCAGTATGCATTCACGACTCCCACTATTCACAGAAATCAAACCCGAGACCTTCGGTCATGCACGCGAACAACTAACCTTAAGACATTACTTACTTACTCAATTATTTACGCCTGTTACCCCCAATGGAGCATAGGCCGCCCACCAGTTTTCTCCAACCAACTCTGTCCTGGGCTTCCATTTCCAATTCTGTCTAATTTTTGTTCATTCTTGTCATGTCTTTCTCTATTTCTCGGCGCAATGTGTTCCTTGGCCTTCGTCTTTTCCTTTTGCCTTGAGGGTTCCATGTGAGGGCTTGTCTCGTGACGCAGTTAGGTGTGTCCTATCCACTTCCACCGCTTCTTCCTGATTTCCTTCTCCACCACTGGAATCTAGTTTGTTCCTTAAGACATTAATTAATTAACTGGACGAAAAAGTTGTCCAGCACTTCCATATTTCTCATGGTGGTCTAACATTCAAATAACTCAAAACAATTTGCACAATCCTATAATAGAAAAATTGGTTTTCGATCCATATGGAACAAGAAAAAAGAACAACCTGTTGATCAATTAAATAAGCCACACCATACGCAAATTAATTACAAAAATTAAATTGAATTATATTCACAATTGAATTATATTCTTTGAATAAATTAATTTCTCTCTTATTTATCTATTCATTTTATGGTGTTTTTTTGTGATTTGATTGTTTAGGCTTATTCTAGATGATAATTTATTTGCACTATGAAGTTATGGTGATTTTAGAGTTATTTGTTGAAATCATGAATTGATCAACGCGCAATACCAAAGGTCGTGGGTTCTAATCCTGTGAGGTGCTAGAGAGTCGTGGTTGAACACTGATGCTGATAAGAGTCATACCAGAACGAAACCGCCATCCAGTAGTTCTAGGTTTCTAACGGTGATCTAACGATGACTGGTTCGGGATTTTAGAAAAATCATCTATTTGTTTAGAAAAAATTAAAAGAAACTGAATAATTGACAATTTACATTATTGACATAAATTTAAAAAACAAGATGGTAAACAATAGTATATCTGTAGGGTTCGTCATTAGGTACGCTTGAAGCTATTACGAGTTCACCTTAGTCGATAAACGCGAACGAGACAATTACCAGTGTCCAGATTGGCTGTCTTGAAGCAAAAGCTGTAAAACAGAAGGCTTTTTAAGCGTAGAAAGTATATTCTACAAACACCCAGCAATCATAATACAATCAAGCATACAACTCTCGTTTATTTATACATCATAGAAACTTCCTTGGGACAGTTACGAAAATAGCACACTAAAATACACAGCAGCCAATCACAGGCATGGATTTTCCCTGGTGGGAAATGAAATCTCAAGGTCAGCCAACCAGCCCATGCTGGCAAACGTGAAATCCAAAATAAGGTAATCATCAAGCAAGTTTTGGGGATCTAACATCCCCAACAATATCATGATATTATCAAATATTTGTCAAGATATTTACGGTTTATTCAAACTAGGAAGAACTAACCCGTTGTCTAATTCTCTAATATGCAACTGTATCGCAGTCGGAATATATAAAATTACTTTGAACTGAAATAAACTTCATGTCTTTTAATGAACGTTCGACTTTTTTGATCACACTGAATCAAGGATGATTGGTTTATATTTCTAATGTCTATTAAGTCATTACTTTTTTCATCGTTTAGGGATAATGCACTGCTGAAGAGTTGTTCAGTGGTTGCCTAGTTTTCAATGGTGGTTCATGATCTCAACAACAGTAAATCTCAATGTTTTGAATGACAGTTGACTGTAGTCGGATAATTTTGACAGTTTGAACCTTCGTCAGTTTATATATATATATATATATATATATATATATATATATGTAAATTAGAGTTTTTACACACTTAAATCATCAATCAATCATTGCTAGATCACAATTAGAAACCTAGAAGTACTGGACGGCCATTTCACCATTCAGTCAGTCAACGAATGGCTTGGTGTCAGTGAGTCAACAACATAGAACTTCGTACGTACGTACATCAATTCCAGTCGCCACACCACAATAGCATAGAAATGCGATTGTCACTTTAAATCCAATAGTAGTAGAAGTACTCGAAGTATTTGCAGTAATCGGAGAGATTATGGTTCAGTGATATTATTCAAGACTTATAATTCAGCGAAATAAACTTAAAAGCAAAAGATAGAAGTGATAATGAATTCAGAGGATTAGGATTTGAGAGAACACAAAACTGGATGCACTTGCGCCATTGTAAACGGTTTTGAGCCATGTCATTCAAGATCTCTAACAATTGGTGACATTCGTCTCGCGGACCCCAACCAGGTAGTCTACATCTACCGACATGACTCAGCCCACTTGTCAGTGACTTCATGGATTTCTGGCATGTTTTGGCTTGGTCGCCCCTAGCTTTCTTCCAACCTATTCCTACACTGCAAATTCATCAGCGTTGAGCATCCACGAATGCTGCACCTAACAGGATTCGAACCCAGGACCTTCAGTCTTTCACGCGAAT